CGAGGAAGGTGTTCTTATAAGGGCCCTGTCAAGCCACAAAATTCCGACCAACACAAATGGACGACCGTTCCTGACGCTCGTACTGCTTCATTTGCTAAGCAAATTATGAAGCGAAGGGATTGGTATGAAGCGGCCGTGATGCTGCATGGATATATGAGTACACATATGCAGCCGTACCTTCGGTAGCGGTTATTGGCAAGATGCCTACGGGAAACTCGTCCAAAATCGATATTCAAGTCATTGAGAACGGAGGCTCTTTCTTCGTAGGATTTTGACCGTTTCACTCTTTTTTTCGCCATTTCCCACTATATAGCGCCCTACTGGCATTTAGGCCAAGCACCGAATCATCGTGCCAACTGCCTTTAACTTGGCGCGAGAGATGTGAGGGTTTCTATCGGTCAATGGGGAAGGTAAGTAGGGCATAGAAAATAGGGCATAGCAAACTGCGCGTGGTAAATTCATATGACACTGAAGTCTTCAGTGGAATTTTTCTGAAATTTTTGGTAATAAACTTGAATGCCACTTCTGAATGCGAAAAGCCGAGTCTTTTCGTTTTTTCATCGTACTCAGCGTTATTTTCCTTTATCTTGTACTACGTGCTTCCTTGATCTGAGCATTCTAGCTCTGGGTTTCCCCAGCCGACAATTTTCCACCTTTAGTATTCGCAAATGCTTTCGTTCCATTATGCTCTTCAGAATTAATAGGGTATGATACAAGCAATCAACTACATTGGATGGTCACGTACGTGGAGGTGCTGCTGGAGGAGCTGGAGGAGGAGGAGGTTTCTTCTGTGGAGGAGGCGTGGCAGGCTTGGGTTTTTGCTCAGCCTCTCTCCTGTAAAAAAAGTTAAAGAGATTGATGATGATCTTATCTTTAACGGTACGGTCTCATTGGTGTGTACGCTGTTCAATGCTATTTTTATTTTTTTTGTGCTGGATAATATTCAGGACGTAATTCGGCGACGAGGGTATTTGGCATTTTTGCTACTTCTCATCGACGTGTCGAGCCATCTAGAGAGCTATTTCATGAGCTTACAAGAGTTGACAGGTTTTACCATGGTGGCTCGACGAGCTTGCTCCAGCTTCACAAGAGTTCACAGGTTTCACCAGAGTGAGACTGAAAACCGGGACTAGTGGAGCAGCGAAAGTGCAAAATAAAACCCCGTCGCCAAATAGGGCCGACATTCTGTACTGTATGGCTTGAGAAAACAGATTGTGAGCCAGAGGATATACAAAGGTCGCAAAGTGCCTCACTTCTTTCAATGTAGACTGATTTGAGGGCTGCAGATTCATCATCGCCGTTCCCGGGTTCTTTTGATAGACAAGCCCTTTCCTTGGACAAGGTGCTATGATAAGCAGGCACAGACGATGTACCACTTCCGCGACTCAAAAACACGTGATAAGGACGTCACCCGCTCATGACGAAGACGATGCTCCGCCCACTGCCTCCTACCACGCCTAACATTCATGTCTACTGCGAACATGGCGGTGCAGCTGATTCTTCAGGAACTCCTTCAACTGCAATTCCAAGAGTGAGGTGATAAAGGGAAAGCGCTGACATTGTCAAAGGGGACTTCTCTTCATCAAAAGCACGAACGAGCTTGGATCGGCAGGAGCTCCTACCTAGGACACTTGTGGCGGTGCTCGGCTTTGGGTGATCATGTTATTAGCTCCCACCGATGTGGAGACCATTGAACTGTTGGCACATAGCGAGCCTGGCACAGGCTATCGTTCGAATACATGTTAACTCTTTGTACAGCTAATACAGCCACGCGTAAATGAGCTCACACCATTTCGCAGTTTTGCCAGATCACGTGGCTCACCAAAGTGAAGAAACCGAAGTGGGAACCGGTGAAATGCTGTCGGCGCGGTGAGAGCGATTGGTTGGCCCACTTTGCATGCAGCGTGCACAGGCGGCAATGCTCGCGAAGTGCAATTTTTTGAATCAATCACTTCAGTCACTTTGAATCGCAACCCACTTCTGTAACATAGCTTGGGCTGCTCCCCAGTTGCTGACGACCTCGTTGACCGTCTCGTTATCATCAGCTGCTCGGAAGCCCTCTGAACACAAATTGATCGGAAATGGCTGCTCGCAGAAAATGTTCTCAAATCATCGTACTTGGAGGGGCCTTCGGTTTCGGTGGTGTTGTTGGCGCCGCTGGCGGTGGTGGTGGAGGCGGTGCAGCTGGTGGTTGTGCTGAAAATTCACTTATTGTCAGCATCTAGCAGATTCAGCTGGAAGGGAATGTTCGCCAACGTGCAAAGTAGAGTAATCGTCCTGACTTTACCTAGTCCTGGTGCAGCGCCACCTTCCTTCCTAGAAGTATGTAGTGATATTTTGAATCACACTTTCAAATACTTTCGTTTCGAAAGCTCACTTTTGTAACATTGCTTGTGCTGCTCCCCAGTTGCTGACTACCTCATTCACCGTCTCGTTGTCATCGCGCGGGCGGAATTTCACTGCAATTTTTCAAGAAATATTTCTTGAAACTATGAGAAATGTTATTCTTTTGAGAACTACCATGCGGTCACACTTTACCGATATGTGTTCAGGAACTACTTCGAAACCACATTGCACGATCGCAAGCCATGCCAGAACAGGTGGCTAGCCTTCTCAATAAATTTCTGGTGAAGGAGAAGCATCATGCAGTGGCGGAAAAGACTTGGAACAAACCAAAAAATGAGCTCTCCAATCATTCATCGCATTTATTTTCCTTCAACTCAACACTGGTAGTAAAGCAGTCAATAATTCAGTGTAGCAACATTAACACTTTAGTAAGTCAAAGGTGATGTAATGGCAAGTGGCGCCACTGACCACGCGCGCGGTGTTGGCGCCAAAGCCCGGATCGGATCCAAGCCGGATTATTAGTAACACGCTCTCCTGACCACGAGAAGAAAAAAAACACTCGCCTTAACAGTGAGTACACTCGCAAAGCATTGCATGGCCTCACTACCATTGAAAAGCCACTGCAGTCGTGAATCTGAGCTTGCCTGAAGCAGTGGTGTACGCGGCGTAATGGTCGACGGTCATAAGTAGTCCTACATGTTTTATCGAAGGAATGGCCAGATTAGCCAAGTTGTTCGATTAGCTCTTCCTTACTGTGTCCTACGGCCTTGTGTTCTTTCCAGAGCCTTATATATCTTGAAAATTCATCTTGTGTCGAAGTCGCGTCGACATTCTTCTCCACTCTGTTCTGGTGTGACTTCAACCATGCAACTCTGTTTGCTGGATAAGCCTTTCCAGGCGTAATGAATCCGAGGACACAAAGTTGCCAATCACACTTTAAGAAAAGCCTGGCAGAACGATTGGAAAGGGATCATATTTAGTTGGTCCCAAGTTTTTTTTCGCCATGAATTGTGGATGAGGGTCCTATTTCATCAAGGAAGAATGTATGGTCGACATAAGTTCACGCTAACATGCAGCCCGCCATAGGTTGCCTTGGGCAGACTGACTATTACTACTATGACTATATTCAAGCAATGCATTCTTCGAACTTTTAGGAAGGATTTTATATCACTAGATTATACTTTGAAGTGTGCCTGCCCATTAAACTCACTCTACACGAACATGGCAAGCGTTTGGCATAAAAAGGGCTGGCACTCACGTTGCTACTGCAGCGCTATAGGCCTTTCAGCCTGCACCGCAGGCACAAGAGTAGTGCAGCACTTTTGTCTGAAAGATCCAGCTACCTCCAGCAGCATGTTCTTTGCCGATTCGATGGCTAAATCAGCTTCAGCACCACCGTCTGTAGCTCTTGCGCCAGGCATTTTCGGGAAAACCGATGAGATATTGGTATGGAGGTAGTTCAACTGCCCCCGTAATCATAGTGATATTCTGTGAATAGTAACTGCTATGCTAATGAAAAACGAAAGTGCAAGTTCAGCGTAGGGCTTAAAACATGCTCTTCTACGTGATGTGTCTATTAGCGGGGTGACATCCGCCGCGACTTGTGCATCTGAAATTTACGTGGTATACTACAGATGGGACAATGCTGCAGTCGTCGCGCTGCTGTCAAAGTCAAAAACTACGGAAGAAGTCATCAGCGTGCGAAACTACTCTATTTTTCTGGTTCCAGCCTGAGCGCCCGCCAGTTCACTCAGTTGTCGTCGTGCCATCCTGCTGTGCGGCATCATGCTTCTTCTTCTCATCCATGGCCCGCTGACCGGTGCACGCCTCTACCTCATATCCCATTGGGTTAGTCTTGTCAAGTGCCAATCATGCCCTCTAATTGTTACCGTCTTATCAATTGCTCACTTGTATTATATTGTGTTTTCGTATTATCACCACTGTGTGATATTACATGAATATTGATTAACAGTACATCCTTATTAGCCGTCTATCCTCGTAGCACAGTCTTACCATGCGTAGTGCTGTTACGAGGATGAGCTTTACACGGTGGCGACGAGCCAACAGATATCTTTTTTTCGCAGATGATGAAAGATGGTGAGGACTCTTCTAATACCACCTTCTGCAAGATCCGGGTTTAGCGCCACCTATGCACTTCTTCCTCATCTTGCTCGGTCACAGCAAAATCTCACGAGATAGCACCCAGGTAACACGCGTGTATGAGGTGAACACGAAAATCCCGAAGAGAACGGTAACAAGTTCATCAACAGGCGAACACGATCAAGGGAACGTTCCTGACGGCAGGTCGCAAAGAATGCAAAAGTGACGGCGGATCTACCCTCCATTCGTCGACTTGGTGCGTCCATACTCAGCTGCACTGGAGAAAACTGAGGAATAATTCGATTAACGCGTACAAAACGAAGAAGTGAGTCACTGAATCTGATCGATAGCAACTGACCATGAGAGATCTGGAAATGAGGAGATTAGGAGAGTTCAGATATTGGAGAATCAGAAATCGAGAACTGATTGATTTCCATCAGCTCTTTTGGCGCGCACTCTCCCGAATCGCACTTTGAGCGATTCTCCTACGCTCCTATTCCCCGGTGTCGTAAAGCTTGAACGTGACTAATCTTCCGCTCTGTTACCACACTGCCTGCTGGTTTGTCGTGGAAGCTGGCGTGCTCCCGACTACGGTGCAAGATTAGTGAAGAATTGGAGCTCCTTTTAGAAAATTGTTTGACAGTTTTCTAAAGATTCAAAGTGAGTGCTATAGGACGCGCCTAGTCAGGGAAAAGTAGCTCCACCGAATCGGAGATCTCCGTCAGTTAGTTGAGAGTCTTCACCTCAGAAATGTCCAGCCAATACGCCGAGCAGCGAACAGAAGTTATGCTGTAACATAACCCAAACTCCTTATGTGTGCTGTAAGATTACATATTAAATGCATCGACTGAACCATTCAGGAACCAACGTCTTCGCGTACGCTCTCTTCCTCGGAACGTCTAACACTTCCCCGAGTAAAGATTTTTGTTCAAATCGAAAGATGTACCTGGTGCTTTTGGTGCCGCAGGAGCTGCCGGCGGCGTAGCTGCAGGAGGTGCTGCTGCCCCCTTTTTCTCGCGAGATTCCTTGGATTCTTTTGACTCAGCTAAATTTCTTAGTATTACTCGTGTCTCAAGCAATTCTGTTGCACAGATGTTCACATTATAATGTTCAATAAAGTAAAAACATACCCGACTCTGCTGGTGCTGGTGTGTCACTACTAAAAGGAAAACACTATTGAAATTTTCTACGGAAAACGCAGATGAGATATCCTCCAACAGACGTCAGCAAAATTATTTTGGAGTGTTCGAACTATCTCTAAGGGACAAATCGCGCCAGGGAAGATACTTAGGCAAGTTCAAACCCATGTGACGCTGCGGTATTGCGTTGCGCACAAGAACATGACAAAAAAACGCCAGCAAGCAGCGCTTTAGGAATGAGCAGGTGATCAGACGATATCAGTTGAATATCATTACCTTGCTGGTTTCGGAGGCTCAAAGTATTTGTCATCGCCTTTAGCCTTCGCCATCGCCATTGCCACTCCCCAGTTGCTGACCACTTCATTCACTGTTTCATTAGGATCCATTTGACGGAATTCTCCTATAAATAATACCTTTCTTCTACAGTCTGTAGACGCTTTTGGTGACTGGTATCAGGCTATTAACAGCGTAAAGCAAGCATCACCGGCTTAAAGGCGGGAATCGGCTACAATCCGTTACCGCTCTGCATCCTATGTAGTACATAGCTTTTGTAAGGATATCGCTTGCCGACAGATGGGCGTTTGCAGGGAAGATGCGAGAACGACAACTCCTACGGTATGCCAACATCGTAGGCGCCGCACCTTATACCGTTATAGCCACGTGTGCAACTATATATGATTCGCTAGGTATGTCTGTCCGTGTGTGTATGTTTGTGTGTGCGTCTGTCTGTGTGTCACGAAATTCATAGCGCCGGTCCCAGTAGCAGTGAGACATTGGTTCCAAGAAGTGATGTAGGGGGTGTGACGGAAACACTTTTGACGAAGGACAAGAAGTGATAACAACTGATCTAGGACAAGGGGCCTTGAATGGGCCGGGTCCTTATTTTCAGAACACGGGTCACAGCAAATCCTGGACCTTGGTTCCAAAAAGAGACATAGGGGAGAGACGAGAACATTGCTGGCGGGAGACAAGAGGTGATAATAACAACTAATAAGATACGACAAGGGGCTTCGGAAGGGAGGCTTGCCAAATTTGTAGCGCAGGCTACAGCAACACTGGAACCTTAGTTCCAAGATATGACATAGGGTATGGGACATAAACATCATTGTTGGGTGACAAGAAGTGAGCAGCTGATAAGATTTGATAACGGGCGCTAAAATGGTAAGATCACAGAGCCAGCGAGACGTTGGTTCCAGCAAGTGATATAGAGGGTAAGGTAAGGACATCAACAGTGGGTGACATGAAGTCATAACTACATATAGGAGCTGATAAGAGACGTTGCGGTGTTGTTCAAGGTGGTGGAGCTCTCAAAGCACGAATCATATCAATTGATTAAATTAGATAGAACCATTTTAACTACATTTCTTACGACTTCTTACCCCTATAATCCCTCTTCGGTGGAGCCCATTCACTGCTGTGCCTCTTCCGTAGGGAAGGAAACGCCGTACATTACAGTTATCCTCCAGACTGATAACTTTAACCCATTCTGATACTGCAACTGCAGCCATTAATGATATGATGGAGGCGAGTCCCAGTTGAAAATCAGTATTTAGCGGCAGCGACCAGCGAGAGGGATTTATTTTCAGCTAATTTCTCTTAATTTCAACTAAAATGTGCTATACGGTCTGTGACCGTATAGCACATTTTGCGCAGTTGCCTAAAGGAAGAGGAAGAGTACCTAGCGAAGACAAAACGGCCCGGGAAAGCTGAGCCGTAAGTCTGAAGGAGGAGCACCTGATGTGCCGACCTGACAGGTCATTTTAGAGTGGAAGGCCATCGGCTCAAAGGAAGACCTAAACAACGCTGGCAGGACACCATCAAAGCGGACACGGAAACTGCCGTCCTGCACGAACAGGATGCACTAGACTGCGCAAACTGCCGATCATTGATCCGGAACGCGCATCCCGCACTGCTGGAACAACGTTAAGAAGAAGAAGAAAAAAGAAGGAGGAGGAGGAGGAGAAGAAGAAGAAGAAGAAGAACAAGAGGAAAAGAACAAGAACAGGAAGAACAAGAACAAGAACAATAACAAGAACGAGAACAAGAAGAACCACTGACTAGACATTCCACGCATCCCCCATGCATTGTGAGACCGCATTCTCACATCAGACGGGTGAGAGTTAAAGTACCGCCACCTTTCCAACCTCAGTATACACTGCTCCACATAATGATAGCTCCACCCATAAATATTACAAAATCCCGTCTTACATGAGGTTTTCAAAAATGTCCTCAAATAGAAAATGAGGTAATAATCAATACCAGTTTGCATGTCAACACCGGAAACTAACTTGAAAGAACAAGTTTTTTCTGTTCATTTTTGAAAATTGGACTCTGACAATGTGTAGTTCCACCTCATGTTTTATCGCTTCGTCTTTTTTTTGTTGAGTAAAACTGTCTCATCATTGTGACCCCTTGCCTTTTCTGGGCTATGGCAAGAGGAACTTCATTATCGGACTTTGAAAAAGGACAGATAATTGCAAAGAAGACTCAAGGACTGTCGACCGTCAAATCGCACGGGATTTGGGCCGCAGTCATCATGTGATCAACAATTTTGTCAAGCAACCTGCAGGATATGGAGTTAAGAAGAGCTCTGGGCGTCCTCCTTTGCTCTCTGATCGGGATAAGCGCCGTATTTTGAGAGAAGCATCAAATTCTCCAATGTCGTGCCGGGAAATAAAGTCAACTTTGAAGCTTAACGTCTCAGAGGAAACTGTTCGGCGTGTCTTGAAGAAGTCTGAGTTCATTCTCAGGAGGAAAATGAGGAAGGCACCGTTTCTGACAGAAATGCATCGTGAAAAGCGAATCGACTTTGCTAGGAGATGTTGCCGAACCGATTGGAGTAAGGTTAGTTTTTGGCTGAGCGTGATTCACTCGTCACCAAACCGCCCTTTTGCCCTGGCCAGCAGTAGCCCCGACTTAAACCCAGTCGAGAATGTGTGGGGCTTCATGGTGCGCAAGATCTATGCGAACAATGCGTGCTTCCACAACGTCCGAGCTTAAGGAGTCAATCATTGATGCATGGGGGCATGTCGAGTGAAAACTTATTTAAAACCTCTATTCGATCATGGCTAACCGCGTTTTCCAGCTTATTCGAAGAATGGAGATCCAGTAGATCACCGAATCAATAATTTATTCATTTTGTTGTGCACCTTTGTTGGATGATCGATTTGTTTGGTGGAACTATCATTTTGTGGAATTGTCAGAGTACCAATTTTCAAAAAAATGAACAAAAAAACTTGTTCTTTCAAGTTAGTTTCCGGTGTTGACATGCAACCTGGTACCGATTACTACCTCTTTTCAATTTGAGGACATTTTTGAGAACCTTATGAAAGAAGGGAATTTGTAATATTTTGGGTGGAACTATCATTATGTGGAGCAGTGTATATTAGAGAAAGAGAGCTTATCTTAAACGTGATAATCGTAAGGCCATTTTTATCTTGGACTGCCAACCTGTGCTGATAGTGCGTAATTTATTACGACAGGATTTTTTCGTGGTAATAATCAGAGTTTACCTTTCTTGAAAGCTTCTTGCCTCTGCCTTTCTTCTTCTCTTATTTCTTTCTTCAACTTCTTAAAAATTCGCACATGGCTCAAAGCTCGATGATTTTAAGGCCTAGCAGCCAGGAGCCACCACCTCATGGCTTCGGCAGTGTAAATGAAATAATAAATATTGCTGTGAGCTATAGAAGTTACTCCACTCATTCGGCTCTGGATAGTTGTTGCATGACATCATCTACCAGTTACCAGTTAACCCGTTACTCTTCCTCTCACAGGCCGCCGTGACACGCACACACACACATACACACGAGATACTTGTAATAGTAGGACAGCCTCTATCTCCAATGAGCACCATTATGCGATCCAGAGAGGAAAGTACTTCCGAGCTCACCTCTCTGGCTTTCCTTTTTTCTTTCTGAAAAAAGATAATTAATGTACGTTGAGCACAAACTTAACGACCACACTTACGCTAGCTGGCGAGTCAGCTGAAAGATTTCGTTTCAGTAGCGAAAGGAAGATTTTGAGAGAATGCCAAAAGTAATTTTGTACGTCCAAAAAACTCACGGTCATCGTCGTCAAATCGTGGCGCTGCAAAAATGTGTGTGCTAGGTGCACTATGGCAACAACAAACAGTGAGCAATTTTACCTTTCGAGTCACATGTTAGTATGGTGAGTACTGTAGCTGATATCACAACTAATGACAGCCAAGCCAGGTATGTAGGCCTTTCAAGAGATTCTGAAGTGTGGTTAAACAAGTACTGTGAGTTAAACAACTACTGTGAACACTTTTAATTCGGGATAAAACTGTACAAAAGATTTTGGCTTCTTACTACTTATAAACCTATTACACGTTCTGTTCTATGGTATTTGAGACGCTCATTCAAAGGCTGAGGCTCAGCGTTCAAATATGAGGAGTTATACGGCTCACATAGTAATAGCAAGGGTGCAAATGATCCATACAGAACTCCATGTCGAAGTGAGGTTGTACGTGCATAAGGCGAACGGATGGCGTAGTCGGACGAGTTCTCACTTGTTGGTGCCGGCTCTTTCCTCTTATTACCTCACTCTCGCCATTCGAAATGGGAAGGGATAGTACCAGAACAACCGCACCATCAGGCAACCATTAGAAATGAACGGTGGGCGGTGCCAATGATAGTGGGTCGGGCCAATGAGAGCAATGACGGCATCGTGGGCCTCCTCAGTCGTTTTTACGCCGCGGAAGTGGTGCAATCGCTGCTTTTGCGGCGTAAAAACCTGGCTACTTGCTCATGAAAGGAGAAGGAAATCTCAACTGAACGCGGGCACTGCTTTCGAGATATTCGTGCTTTTGAGCGCTTAAATGGTCGCTGAGGCAGAGTGTTTCAGAGCTTAGAGATTTCACAAGCATTGACGCGTTAGCTGTGACGCGCTACAATTGGCTAAGAGCGCTCCAGTTTAGAAGAGCGACGCAGCCGCCGGAGCGAAATTATTTCGGCGCCAAGCCGCTTGAGGCCGGAGAGCATAACATGGACGAGGAATGCATGCACTACCTTCATATTAATCTATCCCTCCTCTTCTTACACCTTCCCACAGCCGGCCTGTCCTGGCTGTTGCAAAATTTGCAATACTTATCAGACGTCGCCATCAATTCCTCCGCATCTTCTGCCGTGGAACTCACTTCATTGAGGTTCTTTTTGATGGTCTCTCCAACTTTTGTTCAGGGCTCCTCGTAATCGCTTTGCTCTCTACTATCACACTGCCAACGCTGCTTCCTCATTGGGGTGGTCTTAGGCCGCCTTAGCACGCTGCCCATTTACCATCGCCAGTGACCTCTGTGTGAGTCTCTGCGCACACGACGTCCTCGTTGGCTGACTCCTTCCAGAATTAGTGTCCAGGCGCAAGCGCCATC